ATATATGTATTTATAATTTTCTCAATTAATTTAAAATTATATATATTAAAATGTCCACCATTATCATATTATTTGTGTAATTTATATTCATCTTATATTTTGGCAATACTAAAAAAAACTCTCTATATAGTTTCCCAATCTTGGTAGTTCAACCGGTGAAACGGGGGTGTAAAGCGTTTGTTCCGCCCCGAGTTCGAAACTCAGGTTGAAGAGAGCGCATAATTCAAATCACATGACTGGTCTCCGACCCCGGAATGAGTCTGGATCTCGGTTCAGAAAACCCGGTTATCCAAAAAAAGAAAGAATGTACGTCGATATATATGATATAAAATATTATTTAGTATAAATGTCATAAATTGCCGATATGTACTAAATTTGCACCCATTCGGACAACTATATGATAAAATTGTAAATTCTGATATTTATTTATTTAAAGATTGATTGGTTATCCAACTTATTATTGATCGATCCTTAACTAATGGATACATAATTTTGTTATATCATTCTAAAAAAATAGATAAAACGATACGAATTTTTTTGTTGGGAATGATATGAAAACGTACGTACATATTAAATTAATTTGCAACAAAGGATTTGCATAATTCGACTCAATTGTTTGTGGTCAAGTGACTAGCGTGTTGACCTTAAAGACCTTCATGTCAAGTCGTTCGAACTTCGTATTGGGGAGGGAGAGGCGTTATTTAATTTCGTCTCTTCCATAAACCGTCACCGAGGTGGTATAGCTGGTTTGAGAGGGTGGTGGACGATCCCCTGTACCAAGTCCCATACTCGAGCCACGGGATGGAGGGTAAGGCGTTGTTAGGTGCGTTTTAAATGTTGTTTTTGGATCCATAAGACGTAGGTTGAGTCGAAGTTACAGGTAAATCTCCCCATTATTAATTTTTTTTTTTTTTTTTGCATAAGATGGTCCCCGAGTGCATGGACCGGCAACAATAGGTAGTTGGAAAAAAATGAGATTTGGTCAAAATAACGTCAAAACCGTTGAAGCCTATATAGTTATTTATTTACCAAAAAAAAAAAAGTAAACATTTTTTAATTGATTTTACTTGGTATTCTATTTAATTTTTCCCTTAGAATTTACCTCTTTTAGGATTTGAAATTTTATTCTATAAAACGATTCACCAATTATGTTGTTGTTTTTGTTCTCTATGGTTGAATTATATACTAACTTAGGATAACGATGTTAATTATTATTTTTTTTATATCTTATGTTATGTGTTTGGAATCTAAAACTGATTCGAAGTTGTGAGATGCATATATTATATAATATACTCTTCTGATATCACACTATAAATTCATAAACATTTAAGATATAGATATCAAAGTAACAATATTAAAATAGAATATTTGGGGTCAATTAATGGGATTATCTTCATATATCATTATAATGTATAATCTATACGAGAATTTAAATATACGGACCGTTATGGCTTAAAAAACGAAAAAAACAAAACAAAATAGGCAATAAAGAGAAAAAAAAAGAGACGAAAACAAAGGCAGTATTCCCTCAATTTCTGCTGTTCCAAAAAAAAAAAAAAGAAGAGAGAGACTACTCTCTCTCTCTCTCTCTCTCTCTCTAAGCTCGTACGTGCTGCATCCTTTGAGTAGAGGGTGCCTCGAATTCGATTACCCCAGCGAGAAACAGGAGGTAATTTTCCGTATCCATTTTCCTGGAAAATTTTCGAAATTTTATCGTTCATTGCATTGCAGTGTTCATCCGATTATTGTTATTATATTTACTGTTCTCGTGTTTCGCTAATTGATTCAAGGAAACGACCAATCCTTTTTGTTTTCCTGCCTAAAAGCTTCAGGTGATCTATCTCACTTGCGTTCAATTTCGGTGACTTGGGGTGTGGGTTTAACGTTGTTTACCGGAGAGGAAGCTTGTGTTAGTGTCGGTGTCACTTTTTGTCGGCGACGGATTCTGATTCGGAGCTTGTTTCCGAACGGAGTTTGAGACTTTTCCGGTGATGCTCTGTGGGGCGGAGAAGGCGTATTTTGAGTTGGCTGCAAGGCGGAGGGCGTTTCTCGGAATCTGCACTGTGCACGAGGTGAGATTTCTTCTGTTTGGATTTGTCAGAATTTGGAGTTCTAAACATGATATGGAATCAGATGATTTAGTCCTTTGAACACCTTCAATGTAGACAAATAAGCTGCTCACGAGTTGTAGTTCAGAAGTAGACGGTGAGAAATTCGGAGTTTGAAGGGTAAAATTTGGAGTTTCAAATCTAGAAAAAGACATCAGCAAGCTCCTGAATTGGCCTTATGAAGTTTTTAAGTGTAAATTCCTGAATTTTGTAAATGTAGTTTGGCCATTTTGTAAGCTCGCTCATTTTCTGTTCCTGTGGTGTCAACTCTCCAAAAAGATGATCGATAAGCAATGGGGTGATGAGTTTCTTCCATTTCTAGGAAACCAAGGGCCAAACCGAAGTTGCTCATTGATGTAAATGCCATTGTCTTCCTCTCTTGGAAAGCAAGATCCTTTTCTACCTTCCTTGCAGTTCAAGTTGACATTTCTTATTATAGGTCAAAATATGTTATCGAAATGTAACAAGTTTATCATGATGAGTCAGTCCCGAAAGAAGGTCAATGAATTTTCAAATTGTGCTGTTGTTGAGCTTTCAGTTATTGTTGCTGGAAACTTGATTAAGTGGCTACTCAGAAAAACTCTCATATCTTGTTTTCCTTACTGTTTTTTTTGGTCTTTTAATCTTTTTCCTTCTGTATTTGCTCTTGCCTTGAGAAATAAATAGAGAAATCGTTACCATGCAATTACATGCAGGGAATCCGACAGAAAAGTGGAAATGGATGATCCGGAGAAGGAAATGGCTATGGTTGCTCAGCTCTTTGAGCAACTACATGCAAAAACATCTTCCCCGCAAGACAAAGAATTAACTACGGCTAGTCTACAAGGTATTGCGAGAGGCAGAAGAGAGGGAAGATCACTTATTGGTTCTTATGCCCAAGCCATGCCCTTATTCGTATCCATACTTAGAAGTGGGACACCTTTGTCAAAAGTACATGTCGCTTCAACTCTTAGTGTTTTATGTAAAGACAAAGACTTGCGACTGAAAGTGCTTCTAGGTGGATGCATCCCACCATTACTCTCCATTTTGAAGTCTGGATCTATTGAAGCCAGGAAAGCAGCAGCAGAGGCTATATATGAGGTTTCATCTGCTGGAATTTCCAACGACCACATTGGGATGAAAATATTTATCATGGAAGGTGTAGTGCCGACTTTGTGGGATCAACTTAGTCTGAAAACAAAGCAGGATAAAGTGGTTGAAGGGTTTGTCACTGGAGCTTTGAGGAATCTTTGTGGCGTTAACGATGATTATTGGAGAGAGACACTTGAGAGTGGTGGGGTAGATATGGTTGTGACTCTTTTATCCTGTGATAATCCTAGTTCACAGGCCAATGCTGCTTCTCTACTGGCTCGTCTAGTACTATCCTTCTGCGACTGCATCTCGAGAGTATTGAATTCTGGAGCTGTCAAAGCGCTAATTCAGCTTCTAGGTCACACAAATGATGTTTATGTTCGTGCTAGTGCAGCTGAGGCATTGGAAGCTATTTCATCGAGGTCCGATGAGGCTAAGAAATGTATTAAAGATGCAGGAGGAGTTCATGCTCTGATTGAAGCCACTGTTGCTCCTTCAAAAGAGTGCATGCAAGGACAACACGGACAATCTCTACAAGAAAATGCGACTAGAGCATTGACAAATGTCTTTGGTGGAATGCGTCATTTAATCTTATATCTTGGAGAATTGTCTGAGTCCCGTCGTTTAGCCGAGTCAGTTGCTGATATAATTGGAGCCCTTGCCTATGCTCTTATGATTTTCAAACAAAGCCCGGAGAGTGATGATGAAACATTCGATCCATTAGTGATAGAGAACATCTTGGTGAAGTTACTAAAGTCTTGTGGTACTAAGTTAATCCAAGAGCGGATCTTGGAGGCTATGGCAAGCTTGTATGGAAACAATAGTCTATCGAGTTACTTGAATGATGCAGAAGCCAAGAGAGTCCTCATCACACTCATAACTTTGGCTTCTGCTGAAGTACGGGAACATCTAATAACATGCTTGTCTTGCTTATGCCATGATAAAATAGGGATTTGGGAAGCTGTTGGAAAACGAGAAGGGATTCAGTTGCTTATATCATTCCTGGGCCTGTCTAGTGAGCAGCACCAAGAGTATGCCGTTGAAATGTTGGCAATCTTGACAGAACAGGTCGATGATAGTAAATGGGCTGTAACTGCAGCTGGTGGGATTCCTCCACTGGTCCAGCTACTGGAGACTGGATCTCAGAAGGCAAAGGAAGATGCTGCTTGCAATCTCTGGAATCTGTGCTGTCACAGTGAGGACATCCGTGACTGTGTTGAAAGAGCTGGGGGTGTTCCAGCATTGTTGTGGCTTCTGAAGAATGGTGGACCAAAAGCTCAAGAAATTTCTGCAAAGACCCTTATGAAACTTGTCCATACAGCTGAACCTGCTACAATTAATCAGTTATTGGCACTACTCCTTGGGGAGACTCCCACTTCCAAGGTTCATGTTATGAAGGTATTGGGTCATGTGTTATCAAAAGCATCACAAAAGGATCTTGTTCATGAAGGCTCTGCTGCTAACAAAGGACTGAGGACCCTGGTCCAGTCCCTAACATCACCAAACGAGGAAACCAAGGAGCACACTGCTTCTGTTTTAGCTGATCTGTTCAGCTCAAGACAAGATATCTGTGATAATCTTGCGACCGATGACATAATTAGTCCCTGGATCAAGCTCCTTACTAACAATACTCAGAATGTGGCAAAACATGTGGCTCGGGCATTGGGTGCACTCTCCCGCCCAGTGAAGAAAAACGTTAGTAGAAAGAAGTTTTATATTGCAGAAGGAGATGTCAAGCCTCTTTTTAAGTTGGCAAAGCACTCTTCGATTGAGTCTGCTGAAACTGCAGTTTCTGCCCTGGCAAATCTTTTATTCGATCCAGGTATCGCTGCAGAGGCACTGGCTGAAGATGTTGTTTCAGCTTTCGCCAGAATTTTGGCAGATGGAACTTCAGAAGGTAAGAAGAATGCATCACGGGCTCTTCATCAGTTACTAAGGTATTTTCCAGTATGTGATGTGCTCAAAGGAAGTGCTCAATGTCATTTTGTTGTTCTCTCCCTTGTCGATTTTCTGAAATCAATCAATATGGATTCCATGGATGCTTTCAACATATTAGAAGTAGTTGCCTTCTTGGCAAGGACTAAGGATGGGGTGGGTTTCTCTTATCAGCCACGTTCTGCCATTGCTGAAGTTCTGTCAAGCTTAGAGACTCTTGTACAGTGCCTTGCTGAAGGCCCTACCCTGGTGCAAGACAAGGCCATAGAAATACTATCAAGGCTCTGCTCAGATCGGCAAGCTGTGCTTAGTGAACTCTTGGTTATAAGGTCAAATTCGATATGTTCATTGGCTGATCGAATAATGAATGCGTCCAGCTTAGCAGTGAGAGTTGGAGGGGCGATCTTGCTCCTATGTGCTGCAAAAGGACACAACCAACCAACAATTGAGGCACTCAATAAATCTGGGTTTTCAAAACCTTTATTATATGCCTTGGTAAATATGGTGAAGCAGAATTTTAATAGCTCTCCTTCAGAAGTTGAAGTTCAGACACATAATGGCTTTATGGAAAAAAATATGCTCCATGAGACAGGTGATTTTTCTTTTTCTGATCCAGCTAGAATCTTGGGTGGTACAGTTGCCTTGTGGCTGCTATGCATACTCTCTTCATCCGATGCCAAGACAAAACTAATTATCATGGAAGCTGGTGGACTTGAGGCTCTCTCTGAGAAGCTTGCTAGGTTTACTTCCAGTCCTCAGGTATGAATTCTTTAAAACATTTGTTTGACATTCGCAAACTGTTTTGTTCTTCTTGTTTTACATCCTTATCGAGTTACTGCATCGTGCATTCCGCAGAATCTATCATATTTATTGTGTATTTATTGATCAGTATCTTCTGTACTATAGGGTACTTAAATTGGAAATGGAATAAAATATGAGAAGCCAAAATGTGAGTTGAACAATGCAGTTTTGGAGGTTTTTGGTTCAGAGATTCTGTATCATTAAATTCTGTAGAAGACTAGAAGTGATGATCTCTAGTTCAATGTATAGATGCATAGTGCATTTATTCAATCAAGCATGGATTGTGCATTTTGTTAGTGGGTCGCTGGTCTCAAATTTCTTTTAGGTTTGGTTTTGATTATTGCTCTTTGTGGCATAAATGCCTCGTATGAACTTTTCCTTCCTCTTCTTTCGTAATGTTTGATGTCAATAATTATGTTAACAGGCTGAATTTGAGGATACAGAAGGAATTTGGATTAGTACCTTGCTCCTGGCCATCATGTTTCGAGATGAAAATGTTCTCTTGTCTCCAACAACGATGCGTATCATTCCATCCCTTGTTCTTTTGCTTAGATCTGACGAACTTATGGATAGATACTTCACTGCCCAGGCAATGGCTAGTCTTGTTTGTCACGAAAACAGAGGGATTAATCTGACAATTGCAAATTCGGGTGCGGTCTCTGGGATAATAAGCCTAATTGGCTTTGTTGCATCAGAAATGCAAAACTTCATTGCCTTATCTGAAGAATTTTCTCTGGAGAAAAAACCTGATCAAGTCATTCTTCAATACCTCTTTGAAATCAAAGATGTAAGACTCGGTTCTACTGCACGAAAATCTATCCCACTGCTAGTAGATCTCTTACGACCAATTCCCGACAGGCCTGGAGCCCCTCAATTTGCTGTTCAGATCTTGACCCACATTGCAGATGGAAGTGATGCTAATCAATTGTTAATGGCTGAATCTGGAGCTGTGGAAGCTTTAGCAAAATACCTTTCTTTGAGCCCTCAAGATTCTATGGAGTTCACCATATCTGAATTGTTGAAGATACTATTTAGCAATCACGAGATTAAACGAAATGAAGCGGCCCTGAGTTCCTTGAATCAGCTCATAGCAGTTCTGCATATGGGGTCGAGAAGTGCAAGATACAGTGCTGCTGGAGCTCTGAATGAACTTTTTGATGCAGAAATCATCAGAAATTCTGAATTATCATGGCAGGCTGTTCAACCATTGATGGACATGCTGAGTACTGTATCAGAGAATGAACAAGAAGCAGCTCTCTCGGCTCTAATCAAACTTACTTCGGAGAAAACTTGGAATACATCTCTTCTGACCGATCTGGAAGGAAATCTGCTGGAGAACATGAACAAAATCTTATGTTCAGCTTCTGCTTCAGAGGCATTAAAGATAAATGCTGCCAGGCTTTGTTCCGTTGTCTTCTCTAATAAAAGCAACAGAACAAGTCCATTCGCCAGTGAATGTGTTATACCACTTATATCACTTATGCAGTCTGATAGAAGTGAAGCAGTCGAAGCTGCAGTTTGTGCTTTCGAGAGATTATTGGATGATGAGCAACAGTTAGAGCTCATGGCTGCTCATAATAATATCGTGAATCTCTTGGTTGCCGTTGTTTCTGGGTCAAATCATGGGCTTATCGAGACCAGCTTATCATCTCTGATTAAGTTGGGGAAAGACCGAACACCACGGAAACTGGACATGGTTAAATCTGGAATCATTGAGAACTGTCTTAAGCTATTACCAGGAGCGCCCAGTTCGTTATGTGCGTCGATTTCCGAGCTGTTTCGTGTTTTAACCAATAGTGGTGCCATTGCTAGAAGTTCGGAGGCCGTTAAAATTGTAGAGCCTCTTTTCAAGGTTTTGCTTCGATCGGATTTGACCCTTTGGGGACAACACAGTGCCTTGCAAACTCTTGTAAATATCTTGGAAAGGCCTAACAGTCTTACAGCTTTTAATCTTACGCCAAGTCAAGCCCTTGTGCCTTTGATTTCATTTCTGGAATCTCCATCTCAAGCAATTCAACAGCTCGGGGCAGAACTGCTAAGTCATTTCCTCTCAATGGAAGATTTCCAGCAAGACATCACAACACAGAATGCCGTCGTACCACTGGTGCAGCTTGCGGGAATTGGAATACAGACTCTGCAGCAAAACGCCATCAAGGCATTGGAGAGTATCTCTGTTACATGGCCTAAGGCTGTTCTTGAAGCTGGAGGTATTTTCGAGCTCTCAAAGGTTATTCTTCAGGAAGATCCTCAACCACCTCTTCCATTATGGGAGTCAGCTTCTTTTGTGCTCTCCAATATTCTGCAATCCGACTTAGAGTGCTATTTCAGAGTTCCACTGGCTGTACTCGTAAAAATGTTGTTCTCGACCATAGAGAGCACTGTGACAGTGGCTCTTAAGGCATTGATGGTTTATGAGAAGAACGATGCTTCAAGTGCCGTACAAATGGCTCAGCTTGGAGCAGTCGATGCTTTGTTGGACCTGTTGAGATCTCATCAATGCGAAGAAGCAACAGGAAGCTTACTCGAATCGATATTCAACAATCCAAGGGTACGGGATTTGAAGATGTGCAAATATGCAATAGCCCCGATATCACAGTATCTATTGGACCCTCATACAAGATCAGAACCTGCAAGACTTCTTGCTGCTCTTGCCCTTGGGGACCTTTCCCAGCACGAAAGGCATGCTAGATCTAGTGGTTCTGTTTCCGCTTGTCGGGCTCTTATTAGTGTACTGGAAGAGCAGCCAACCGAAGAAATGAAAATGGTGGCAATCTGTGCTTTGCAGAATTTCGTGATGAACAGTAGAACAAATAGGCGAGCAGTTGCAGAAGCTGGTGGAATATTGTTGATCCAGGAGCTGTTGTTGTCAAGTAACACAGAAGTTTCAGGGCAAGCTGCATTGATGATCAAATTCTTATTCTCCAACCATACACTTCAAGAATATGTCTCGAATGAGCTTATCAGATCATTAACCGGTAACTTCTCTATTTCAATTTTTTTTCTGCTTAATCCCTAACCCCTTTTGCTCTGACATTAAAACTCATGGAGTATCCCGGGGTCATTAACATGTTTTATCATAGGGAAAATTCCATAAAAAACACTGACCTTACAAAACTGTAACAAAAAGAACACCCGTAAATTTCCAATAGAACACGTGAACTTGTCCCTATTTTCCATCAAAAACTATGTACCCTGGATAGAGGGTTGATTTGGAAGCGAATTTACAAGTCCAGGGTTTCTGGTGGAAATAGGGATGAATTCATGTGTTTTATTGGAAGTTTGCAACTTCAGGGTTTTTTGTACTATATTTTTGCAAGTTCAACGTTTTTTTAATGAGATTTTCTCTTTATTATACCGAGTTATATGCTCCTATCCCCTGTTTTAACTTTTTTGTCATCTCTTGGTGGAGCAGCTGCTCCAAAGTTTTTGGTGGAAAATAGGGATAAGTTCGCATGTTTTATTGGAAGTTTGCAAGTTCAGGGTTTTCTGTACCATATTTGTGCAATTTCAGTGTTTTTTTTTTGAAAAATTTCCCTTTATTGAACCAAGTTATATGCTCTTATCCCCGGTTTTAACATTTTTTTGTCATCTCTTGGTTTGAGCAGCTGCCCTCGAGAGAGGCTTGTGGTCTTCAGAAGCAACTATAAATGTAGAAGTCTTGAAAACCTTAAATGTGATCTTCTCCAACTTCCCGAAGCTCCGTGCCTCAGAAGCCGCCACTCTCTGTATCCCTCATTTGGTAGCAGCCCTCAAATCGAGCGTCGAAGATGTCCAGGAATCTGTATTGGATATTCTCTACTTGCTAAAACACTCGTGGCCGAATATGCCAATTGATGTTGCGAAATCTCAAGCTATGATGGCGGCTGAAGCAATTCCTGTTCTGCAAATGCTGATGAAGACATGCCCTCCTAAGTTCCATGACAAGGCGGATAGCTTGTTGCATTGCTTACCAGGTTGTCTGACTGTACATGTAAAGCGAGCCAATAACTTAAAGCAGTCCTTGGGAGCTACAAACGCCTTTTGTCGGTTAACCATCGGAAACTGTCCCCCACGACAAACTAAGGTAAAAAACTGATTCTTTCTCCTAGGAGATATATTAGGGGTGGACATGGATTAGGTACCCGAGTTTTTTTTGGGGTATCAGGCCGAAACCGCAAAGACGGTGTTCCTTTTGTTGAAATGATGTACACATTTTTACATTGTAGGTTGTGAATCATAGCATCTCACCTGAATGGAAAGAAGGATTTACATGGACATTTGATGTGCCTCCCAAAGGACAAAAGCTTTACATTATATGCAAGAACAAAAGCACATTTGGAAAGGTAACGAAGAAGAAAGCTCTCTCCTACCTATCTTTTTGGTTTGCCATATCTAACTGGAAATCTTTCGACTCGCCATAGGGAAAG